GTAAATTGACTCAGTACCTTGTGCTAAGAGTACCTTTACTGCCTCTTACCAGGTGAGTTGATTATGTCCCTTGTGTCAAGAGTACTTGTACTACCTCTTACCAGGTGAGTTGATTCTATCCCTTGTGGCAAGAGTACTTTGACTGCCTCTTACCAGGTGAGTTGATTCTATCCCTTGTGGCAAGAGTACTTTGACTGCCTCTTACCAGGTGGGCTGATTCTGTCCCTTGTGGCAAGAGTACTTGTACTACCTCTTACCAGGTGAGTTGATTCTGTCCCTTGTGTCAAGAGTGCTTGTACTACCTCTCACCAGGTGAGCTGAATTTGTCCCTTGTGGCAAGAGTACTTTGACTGCCTCTTACCAGGTGAGTTGATTCTGTCCCTTGTGTCAAGAGTACTTGTACTACCTCTTACCAGGTGAGTTGATTCTGTCCCTTGTGGCAAGAGTACTTTGACTGCCTCTTACCAGGTGAGCTGATTCTGTCCCTTGTGTCAAGAGTACTTGTACTACCTCTTACCAGGTGAGTTGATTCTGTCCCTTGTGTCAAGAGTACTTGTACTACCTCTTACCAGGTGAGCTGATTCTGTCCCTTGTGTCAAGAGTATTTGTACTGCCTCTTACCAGGTGAGCTGATTCTGTCCCTTGTGTCAAGAGTACTTGTACTACCTCTTACCAGGTGAGTTGATTCTGTCCCTTGTGTCAAGAGTGCTTGTACTACCTCTCACCAGGTGAGCTGAATTTGTCCCTTGTATCAAGAGTACTTCAATTACCTCTTACCAAGTTCCTTAGTCCTATTCATATTTAGTGTAACTAAGCTGTTTCTTCCTGCTATGTCAGGGAGCTTAGAATTTTGGGGCAATGGAGTATAGAGTTTGAAGTCGCTCGGAAGAGGCATTTTTTTCGACGCCCGTCAGAAGAGAAATACCCTAATTATTTCACCGAAAAAAACCTATGCCATTATAAAAAATGACAGCTTGTGACTTACATACTTCATTAAGAATCCAAATTTTATTCTTAGTAAAATATTAAGAGTTTGAAGACGACCAGAAGAGGCTTTTGCAAGTTATCAGAGGGAAATGAGATCCTGGGAATGGTTGCAAGTTATCACAGGGAAATGAAATCCTGGGAATAGTTGCAAGTTATCACAGGGAAATGAGATCCTGGGAATGGTTGCAAGTTATCACAGGGAAATGAAATCCTGGGAATAGTTGCAAGTTATCACAGGGAAATGAGATCCTGGGAATGGTTGCAAGTTATCACAGGGAAATGAAATCCTGGGAATGGTTGCAAGTTGTCACAGGGAAATGAAATCCTGGGAATGGTTGCAAGTTATCACAGGGAAATGAAATCCTGGGAATGGTTGCAAGTTATCACAGGGAAATGAAATCCTGGGAATAGTTGCAAGTTGTCACAGGGAAATGAAATCCTGGAAATGGTCTCTGTAAAACTGACCAGAGGGGACCAGCTCATGGCAATGGTTGCCGGACCTTTCTCTATTTGCTGACCACCAGCTCTAAACCGTTCATAAGTTGTAAACGAGAAAATCGGAGGAAAGCAAAAAAAAATCAAACAAAAAAAATAATACCCGTTTTGTTATATATGAACAATCTTCTATAATTAGGAAGGTAAATTCTCTCTCATTTATAACTGTATAATTAGTTTGTAACGATGATATGAGATATAGTGAGGCGTACACACGTATCTAAAGTAGGTAAATGCATTCAGATGTTCGAAAATCTCTAGGCAGTCTTCGATAATGGTGCCTTAGCCACGTTAAAAAAATGGCTCCTTCATTGCGAGAATCATACTCGAGGTACGTTCGAAAAATGACCTCTGAAACGCGTTCAAAAATGATCCCCCGACATACGTTCGAAATTGATGTCTTTCCCCGTTATCGCAAACGACGTTAAGCTGCGTTGCGACGTTATTATTATATAGAACGTTCTGCAAGACCCATCAACAGAGTTTTACTTCCGCTTAATAATTACAAAGAAGTTTTTTGCCTGTCCTCGTGTACACGATGCTGTAAGTAACTGGTAATTATATTATCTTCTTTCTCTTTCTTTATTATTTTCTCTTGCCTCTATTATATTCTCTCCATTATGCCTCGGCTACAAAGCTCCTTGGTAAACAACGTTCAACGAAAAAGTTGGTTTTCAGGAAAACTCTCTTGAGAGCTTTGCCTAACGAAGCAGTTTGAATGGGTAATGAGTGTGGTTGGTTGTTGGTTTCAAAACTATCGACTACACGAGGGTCATTGAAACAGCATGATCGGTTGGTATATTAGGTTTAAAACCGATCGACTACACGAGGGTTATTATCAGGAAGTGATGTGACTTAAGAAATCGTAATGACACGATTGCAAATAAACCATACCCCCGGCCGGGATTGAACCCGCGGTCATAGAGTCTCAAAACTCCAGCCCGTCGCGTTAGCCACTAGACTAACGCGACGGGCTGGAGTTTTGAGACTCTATGACCGCGGGTTCAATCCCGGCCGGGGGTATGGTTTAGGAAGTGATGTGTCTGATAAAGTTTTTTTTTTTTTGCTTTGCTAAATTAATTTTATCAGAGGAGACTAAACGTCGAAATACCATGGCTAGAACAAGTCAAAACGTACCCATAATATGGAGAGGAAAATCTTCAGGGCCTTTCAGTGTATCTATTCTCTTGGTCTAGGTTGGATTTGTGGGATGGATTTGTGAAGGACCCGCCCAGTATGGGCCAACAGGCCTACTGCTGTGTTCTTCCTTTCTTATGTTCTTACAAAGCATCAAGTAAAGTTGAACTAATCCAATAAAATTGTGGATTAGTTGTGACTTGGTATTATCAAGTTAACATTTTCTTACCTGTGTTTACATCGCTATATAACAGCGATATATATTTTTTATTTTTATTATCACACTGGCTCATTCCCACCAAGGCAGGGTGGCCCGAAAAAGAAAAACTTTCACCATCATTCACTCCATCACTGTCTTGCCAGAAGGGTGCTTTACACTACAGTTTTTAAACTGGAACATTAAGACCCCTCCTTCATCGCTACATAACAGCGATATGTAGGAACCTATTTTTATCCTGACATTTCGTTTATATACCGAATTTTCCGGCATATAAGACGCACGATCATATGAGGCATATAAGACGATGTTTGCGAAAAGTTACAACGTAACGCTAGTAAACAAACGTTAAAGCGTAACAAAAAACCTTGACTCTGATTTTGAGTATATAAGGCGCAGGCTCATTTCGAAGACTTTCGTGGGGGGGAATAAATGCGAATTATATGCCGTAAAATACAGTATGTGAGGAGCAGAACTGGTGCAAGGAATGAGCCTTGTCGGACTCCTCTTAATACCTCCGCCAACCCAGGTCCTTTTTTCCTGGTCCTCAGTATCGGAGTGGAAACGAGTGAGTCTTGGTTTCCAGAGAGGACTTAAAGGTCTAGAAATTTCAAGCATATAAAGCTGAGATTTTTAAGCTGGTATATCTTTTCACACAGGACATCTGTTATCCAGACAACCCCACAAGAGACCTCCTCTTACACCTATGAAATATGTGTGAGCCACTGTTATGTGTTGCTAGGAATCCTTGTTTGTTCTTCTAGGATGTGAACATGAGTCTGGCTAGGTAAGGTCTGGCTAGGTAAGGTCTGGCTAGGTAAGGTCTGGCTAAGTAAGGTATTAAATGTCTTACAATGGAAAAATAAGCACAAATGTAGTATAATGTAATTCTTTATTGGTTACATTTCGCCCACAGAGTGGACATTATCAAGTTTCAAACAGATCTACCTGAGTAAGAGTACATGAGTATATATGTTATATATAATATATATATATATATATATTATATATATATATATATATATATATATATATATATATATATATTATATATATATATATATATTATATATTTATATATATATATATTATATATATATATTATATTTATATATATATATATATATATATATATATATATATATAGTGGCTTTCTTTGTACTTAGCAAACCAAAACTGTAATTACACATTGTAACCCTCACAAAGAAATAAATCTTTATCTTATCAGGAGGAGAATGTTACAGGACGGTCGAATGTGTCTTCTTTACCCAGGTAGATCTGTTTGTGATTATCTTTTTACTGTCCAGGAAAATGGAACACTTTCACTTTTCTTTTGTCCTCTCAGTACCTCTGTAACCTTGTACTCGAGGTACAGCAGGTTTGGAAGACAGGAACTACGTCCGGTAACTCCATGGCAGTTGACTCTGACAATAGTTTTAATGGTACCCTTCCGTACCCTTGGTTATCTTATCCATTACCTCAGATAACATGAATGTCATGGTCAGAGATCTGTGGATAAGCACTTTCTGTGTGTGTGTGTGTGTGTGTACTCACCTATTTGTACTCACCTATTTGTGGTTGCAGGGGTCGAGTCCTAGCTCCTGGCCCCGCCTCTTCACCGGTTGCTACTAGACCCTCTCTCTCCCCGCTCCATGAGCTTTATCAAACCTCGTCTTAAAACTGTGTATGGTTCCTGCCTCCACTACGTCATTGTCTAGGCTATTCCACTGCCTTACAACTCTATGACTGAAGAAATACTTCCTACTATCTCTCTGACTCATTTGTGTCTTCAACTTCCAATTGTGGCCTCTTGTTTCTGTGTCCCCTCCCTGGAACATCCTGTCCTTGTCCACCTTGTCTATTCCACGCAGTATTTTATATGTCGTTATCATGTCTCCCCTGACCCTCTGTCCTCCAGTGTCGTCAGGCCGATTTCCCTTAATCTTTCTTCATAGGACATTCCCTTAGCTCTGGAACTAACCTTGTTGCAAACCTTTGTACTTTCTCTAGTTTCTTGACGTGCTTTATCAAGTGCGGGTTCCAAAAGGGGCTGCATACTCCAGTATGGGCCTGACATACACGGTGTACAGTGTCTTGAATGATTCCTTACTAAGGTGTCGGAATGCTGTTCTCAGGTTTGCCAGGCGCCCATATGCTGCAGCAG